TGTGTGTGTGTGTGTGTGTGTGTGTGTGTGTGTGTGTGTGTGTTCGTTTGTATCCGTGGCCATTAGCAGCCATGATGAAATGGCAGTCTTATTTGTGGCTAAGCCTCATACCACAGAATGATGATGGTAATGCCTTAGATTCTGCTGCATTACTACATAGCACTGCCACAAATGGTGACACACATTACTGTGGAATCCATTTAATGAATAAAATGCAAATAGCACACACAGGCCATTCATGTGGTGTCATGTTTAGCTCCCCAGGCTGGTGCTGTGTCAGCTTAAAGGCTGCTAATTGATCATTTATGCATTAGGGTTTATTATAACAACATCCAATTCTTTGTCTTCCATCCCTCCAGATTTTTCAGGGAACTACCTCCACCTGGATGCAGGCGCCCACACCCAGCGCAAGAGAGCCCGGCTGCTGAGCCCCGAGGTGGGGCCAGAACGAGGCCCGCTCTGCCTCCTGTTCTACTACCAGCTCCAGGGGGAGGCGCAGGGGAGCCTGAGGGTCCTGCTGAGGGACAGCGACCAGGAGGAGACGCTGTTATGGGTACTAAAAGGAGACCAGGGGCCGCATTGGAGAGAGGGCCGCACCATCCTGCCCCAAAGCCCCAAAGAGTATCAGGTAAGCTGCTTCCGGACCTTTCCTGCTGCACGGGGACAGAAATCTGGGGTGTCATATAGAGTCTGTAGTAACAACTAGTGGAAAGTATATTGATGTAATGACAGCCCAGTGGGAGTCTGCAGTGTTCTGTGTGCCACTGGCTGACTGCTGGTCAGAGTTCTCCCTAAAGCCTGCTGTGTTTGTGTCTTCATTCTGGGCTACAGGTGGTGTTTGAGGGCTTCTTTGATCACCCAACCAGAGGCCACATCAGAATAGACAACATCCACATGAGCAGCAGCATTGAGCTGGAGCAGTGCACACGTGAGTCCCACGAGCTGTCTGCTCACCTGTTGGCACGTTTCTGAACACGCCGGCCAGTGTTTCTGTCTGCGATTGGATTCTCACGTCTTCACACCATTTATTCTGTGTTTTCACAAGAGACCGGATAAGAGCAAGTGAAGGGGGAAATCATTATATTTCTCGTTTACACACACACACACACACACACACACACACACACACACACACATCAAAAAAGAAAAATATATATAAAAAAAGAAAGTAGGCCACAAACGGCCGTTGGGCATGAATTCTAATCTATCTTTCATTATATCTGCCTCAGTCTTTCCTATACCACCCCATCCTACTGTTTCTTCAGTCCTCCCATTCTTTCGCTCTCTCCTTCTCTCTCCACCACCGGCCTCTGTTCAGTCTCAGCCATCAAGTCACAATAATGTGGACCGGTGCGTGATTACTGGAGAGAGCCACGTGTCATTGTGATTTATATTCTTCAGAGACTTTGTCTATTCATCTCTCTACTCTCACAGCAACCTCATATCACATCACAGCGAGTAATAGACCCGCTGGCCACTGGAGGATACCGTGTCACGCCTGTATGAATGCTCCAGAGATAGCCATCATGGCTGTGGCTCACGCACGAGCTTGGTTCCATCATCTGTTAATCGCAGGATATGATCCCCGTCCAGATCATCCTGGAGGAGGCAATTTAGCTTTTAACTTAAAATAAAATAGGTAAATACATCTTTGCCAGTAAGAACGCCAGCACACAGGCTAAGAAACGCTAACGGTTAGATTAGTGGCTGTCAGAGGGGCCAGGCACTGGGTTAAGCCACTGCTACAATGAAACTGAACGTTCCAGCGGGTCTACGTCATTAGGTCAAAAATGATACCTCAGTACGTCACTACCTCGATTAAGAAGCTTGAGTTGGTCTGTAGAGCTATGTCGAGGAACCAACCCAAGCTGGACCTGTGTATGCATGTCGCCGACCGACAGCCAGCTGCCAAAGTTCACCTAGTTTCAACTTAAGCGAGCGCCAAACCGACATAAGCCACCGGAAATACTGGGTTTAAGATCGCAGTGGTGCCAATGTCATGTTCTGTCCGAAAGGCTGTCAGGATCAGGCTTTGAAGAACTGTGCTTGACTAGTTTTAGGCTGTCTCATGTCTCACATGGCGTCCTACAGCAGGCCGGCGGGGCTTCCTGTCACCGGACATGGCTGACTGAGAGTCGCCACTTCCTCACAAAGACGGTTGCTAACAAACGAGACTACATTTAATAGCCTTAACCTGTTGATTTGCTGCATTTGTTTTGTCCAGTTAATGCAGATAAACATGAGCTAGTGTGGGCCAGGAGTCAGCGTAGAGCTTCACCAGATGGTCGAGATGCTGTGGAGCTGGAACAGGAGGATCCACAATTAGTCAAGCTTGAATCTGCTCAGGAACTTAACTTCATTACGTGCTTCTGTTTTGTTTTTGGTTTTTTGGGGAGGTTCCCAAGTTTTTTAACTGAAACAAGAGTCCGGGGACTTTTCATGCTTCTTTCTCTTTCCCCACCAGTTGGTTTCCACCATCCTCTTCTCACAGTTTTTCTAATATTCCATCGAACTCTCTCGTTCCTTCTGTTATTTTTTGGTTTGTCTTTCTCACTTCCATAATAAATGTCACGTCCTCTGGCAAATAATAAACAGCAGTAAATTTTGTCCATGTTCCCATGACCCTGTAACTTACCTCCACCCTTCCTTCCCACTCCTCCACTTCCCTTCTCCTCACACTGTCCCTCACCCTCTTCACCTCGTCCTCCATCCTTCCCAGGCTTTCTTTTGCTTCTGTCTTTTTAACCTTCTACTACCAACACCTTGTATGTCAGAAGAGAAAAATAAATAAAAATAGGATAGAAAAACCACAAAACAAAGAGCAACCACAGGAAGGAGACAGACAGAATGACGAAGCAAAAAGAAAGTGAGACACAAAAGGAGAGACATTCAGAGGACAGCCAGCCCTTTCCCCCACTTTTATCCTGCCTTCTTTATTTTCTCTCCATTTTGTAAAATAACTGTCATCCTGGACGATTAATGGGCCTTTGGACTCTTAAACAATCTCAGAACTCGACAAATCTCTATTGATTTTCTCAAACAGGACTAACAACCACCAGCCCGGTGAAGAGTGCAGTGCAGTCTGGCAACTCTATGAAAAAGCTTTTCTGTTGACACACATTAGAAACATCATCATTGGATCAGTTCAGTCATCATGCAAATGCCGTGTTTATACTAGCTCACGTCGTAATGGAGCACCTTGGAACGGTCTAATTACTGAAGCCATGGCTAATATGTGGGTTAAATGAAGGTCATTACGTCCTGTAAGAGCAGCATGAATCCCTTCATATTTGTTCTTATTCAGCATCTTACTAACGTTTCCAATAACATTTGTTTCCTTCTCTCTTTTCCAGCGCCTTTCCCTGCCCTAACGCCTGGCATAACCAGTAAGTCCTACTTCCTGTGCATTTGTACTTCTTGTGCCAACACGTGTGTGCTTCCTGCTTGTTGCTGAGCTCAGCTTGCAGCGCTGCCCGGCCCTCGGTCACCCTGTTAGTGCATCAGGCCGACGCCATGCGGTCCCCGTAGTGCAGGCACACAGACAGCAGCCCGGGTTACAGCTTCCACATCATTTCCAAGCGAATCGAAACGCAGTTTTGTTCATGTGTAGTACTTTCTGTATCCACATAACCAAACTGAAGCAGTTTGTAGGACTTTGTGAGTTTCCTGGTAGATTTCTAGACGCAGATGTGATGGAATGGAGCCACTGCATTGTTCCAGCATGTCTGCCTGCATGCTGGGCTCATACTTGGTTCTGTAGTTTGGTGTGAACATCACATGTCTCACTCCATAGAAATATCAGCTGACATCAGCATCAACCCTGACAGGCTTCAGCTGAACGATATGCAGCTGCAGCAGAGCGCCGTGAGCCCGAGTGTTGGAATACAGCTGCTCATGCTCAGTCTATGTTGTGTTTCTGCAGTTTCTCCTGAACAGTGTTCACTTTCAAATGCTCGTGTGGTAGATGACTTCACAGTGTCAGGTGACGATGAAGGTTGAGATCACGAGGTCCGGTGGAGTCGATCCATCTGGTCTGACTTTCTGGTCATGAGAGAAGTTACGAGCACCAAGCCGATCTGTCTTTGCCATAAATCTATTCCTCACACCGTTCCGGCTGTAAGGAGCCCTGCTCATTATTTATTCCTTCATCTTGATGTGTTGTCGCCTCCTAAGTGCCCCGGTTCTCTGAGACCACCCTCTTCCTTTGGTCCTCCCTCCTCTAAGCTTCTACTCCTCCTCTCTGCTCCTTCCTCTCCTGTCGCTCCCGCTTCATTATTTTCTTTATTTTTATTTTTATTTCTTCTCCTCTCGTCCTGGTGCTTTGCTCAACTAGCCCCGATCCCACCTGCATGAGATGCAGTGCTGATGATCACCATCCAGCCTTTCTTGTTCCTCCTTCATCCATAAATAGACCAGTCTGACAGAAGATATAAAGGCTTCGGCAGATTATGCTACTGGATCCTTTGTTTTCAAAGTCAGGGTTCGGACTTAAACTGCTGGTTGTGTGTGTGCTATTGTTTGGAGACCCACAAAATGCAAACACTGGCATTTTCAAAGAGCTAAACTTGAGTGTAGATATTGACTTTCATAGCAGTACATGAGCACTGTGAGCACCATGCCAAGACCATCGGGATGTCAAGATGCTTTTCTGAGTTCTGGTCAAAGTTCATGGATGGTTGAGGTTGAAACTGGAGAACACAACCTTTCTTTAATCATATTTTATTACTGTTTGAGCAAAAGTTAGTATTTTGAAGCTGGGTACTAAATCAGAAGGATAATTGCTGTGTGGTTCTGATTACGACACTTTGATTCAGTTCGTTTACGCACGTGTTACCGTTAATGTTTAAAATGAACCGGCGTGGCAGCAAAGTAGGGAACGATGTGGTGCGCTGTGTGTGTGTGTGTGTGTGTGTGTGTGTGTTCCCAGTGTGTGAACAGATCAAAAACATTCTTCAGATGCTGTCAGATACTCGAGCAGCGCTTAGTTTTTTTCCCCACATTCAGTTCAATCAAAGCATAAATACCATTCCAAAAATAGTAAAAAGCCAAACGCAGAAACTCAGGTCACCTGACTCCACCTGACTCCAAGTATTCCACCTAATCCTGCCTGGTTTCTTGGACTCTTGAATCCTGAGCAGCTATCAGATGACTCCCAGCGCGACGGCCTGACGTACAGCTTGTTTTCATGAGGCTCAACCCCAGGAAGAAGGAGCGCTTTGCTCCATGGGATGCCTGTTAAAACCTGATCTAAGACCCAAAGTGTTTCTCTTCGGGTCAGTGGATGTAGCTGAACCATGCTGAAGGCTCGATGCATGTATTAGAAATACCTCGGTTCTTATTTATTGGTCGGTGTCTTCATGTGAAGAATTACAGTTCAAAGTGTTTTTGACACTGGAAACCCAGGATGCATGACTGACGGATACGCATGGAGGAGTTCATCAGCTACCTGCAGCAGGACCCTGCATTTCACTGGAAGGGCATTTAAACTGAGCTTAACTTGCTCTATGTGAGATGCTCCCAGTAGCAGAGCAGGAGGAGCATTTCAACAGTTGAATCAGCCCAGTGAGCAAAACATATTCACGTTGACCAGAAACATGACGAGAATGGAGAAGCATCTTTAAATGTCTCCCCTTTAGCTATAGCTTTATACTATGAGCATTCTGAGCACAGAAGCAGACTGATGTTACTCATGTGTGTGGAAGGAAGAAGCTGGTTCTGGCTTCACTTTGACTGTAGAAAGGATTCAGCTCATCGCGGCTTGGCTTTTTACTCCATATAACAGTAGTTTAAGTCAAGGTTGTTCATGGTTTGATAGTAATTAAGTGTTTCAGAAACTCTAGGAACCAAACTTCCTTGAAAGCGAACATTTTGAGCTTTAGGAACGGTGCTCCTGAGAAAGCTCCCCCTCCATCCCCCGTTCCTCCACCAAAAAGCAAAGTAATGGTCAATTTTTTCAGCCCTGGAAATGATCTGTCTCCTAATCCACCAGTGGGAAGGCTCTCCGTGCAGGCTGCTTAGAGCGCAGCTTTACAATCAAAGCCAATTTTAAACCCTTAAAGAGTACGTCTGAACTTTTAAAAAGACTAAATTAAGCTCGGCGGTTTCCTTTAGGTTCTGTATCCTGCTCTGCACCTCTGCTTCTCCTCTCTTCTGTCTCACATCCATCTAGTGCTCATTCAGGCTCTATTCTCTCTTTCATCCATCCTGTCTGTCTTTCTTGTGCTCTTTCTTCCTTTATTTTACGTTCTCCCTTTCTTTTCTGTCTCTCTCTCTTCCACAACTTCTCCCTCAGCGGGTTTCTTTCACAGTGAGTTGACAGAGTATTGAAGTTTCAGACAAACCCTTTAATGCAGGATTAAAGATATCATGGCAGGATTAGCTCTCTGCCTTCACTTCCCCGCCCTCCCGCCCTCTCTCTCCTCTCACTTTTCTACCACCCCTCTCTATTTCACTCCATTCTTTCCTCCAATAATACCTTCTTTCTTATCCGTTCTCTAGCCCTGTAATTTCTCTCTTTCCCTCTCCACTCGACTCCGGCGTGATCTCGTCCTGATAAAAAAGCTGCAGCCTACCAAATGCACCCACTTACCACTCCCCACCCTTTGTCTAAGTCAGCCAGGCGCTGCATAACCAAGGCTTTGCATTCTCTGACCGACCTTGAACGCATGGCATGGGCCTTCGCGTGTCAGTGTGCGGCTAATGCTTGTGACGTTTGCATCAATCAAGAATATCCTTTGAGCAAAATTTCTGAAACGTCTGTGCTTCAGCATCTTTTTGAGGAGTGATGACTTTAGGTGCATTAAATAAACTACTTCTTACTTATTGTGTTTGAACGACTCCAGCGAGGCACGGCAGGTTCAACACTGGCCGATAACTGACCCTTTGCTAAAACCACGAGCTTAGTTATGGTTGCTCGGCCTGTCAAGCTTTCTGTTCTCACACATCACGTATGCACTTTACACATCTCCCACTTCAGTTATTTGTGAGTTTCTTCACAGTAGGTCCTTGCTTTAGACTCAACCAGCTGGATCTAGATGCTAGTGAAGATACTGGGGCTCATGTTTTTGCATTGCAGTTAGTCTAAATAGTATTATTACTTAATATTAAGTATGATATAGAAAATATATTATTAGATAGCTCAAATACACGCTAGAACAAACCCTGTCTAGTTCAAATTCTGCTCCGACACAACTCAGCTGCATCCCTATTTATGTTTTGAAAGAAACAAGTGATCATTTTTGAAATGAACACGTTTACAACGAGATGTTTGACGTGTTTGAAGCTTGGTAGATCATTTTTGGTCTAACAAGAGTCCCGTCCTATCTAACGTATGATTGGTTTGCTGAAAAGGAGCAACAGTAAAGCAATTAAATAAATGTCAAACACATGTTGATTAGAAATGTATCTGATACATCACAAGTTAATTGTTTTCTGGCAAAATAATCCAACATTTTCCTCAATACGTATTTAAGAATGCAGTTTATTTGTGTTGGAACGTAGTGTTTAGGAGACTGCTGCTAAACCCAGAGCAGCCACACTGCTGTCATTACTTTAGCATGTGTACTCTGGCCTGATGGGTAGGGGCTGTTGTCGATGATAAGATACTTCCTGTTTGCTTTTGGTTTTGAAGTGCTAAGAAAAAACCATGAATCCTCTGCACTATGAGATTGCTTCGTATGAGACGCACGCTGTTGTTTTAGTATGTGGACACATTTAAAGCTTGACAGGCCTGGAACAAAGTTCGGCAGGGGTTTAGTGAACTGTCAATTAGCCAATCAGCAGCTTTTGACTGTCCAGTGCAGTCTGCATGCCTGCCTCGCTCGTCCACTGAGCCAACCAGTAATGTGTCCTCCTGCCCTCCAGGGGGTGCCATATCTGGGATGGAGCCCACTGTAGACTCAGTGGTGGTGCAGCCGGTCCCTGCCTACTGGTACTATGTGCTGGCGGGAGGCGGTGCCCTCCTGCTGCTGGTCACTGTGACCGTGGTGGTGATACTGTGCTGCCATCGGTACCACGGGGCGACCAAGAAGACCAGCGGCAGCCACCATCATTCAGTGATGTACCACAACAACCAGCAACCATATCAGCAAAACTGTTACCAGAACCAAAACCCCAGCTGTAATCTGATGCACAGCCCCAACCAAAACCACCTGTACCCCGGTACCGGGCAAAGTCTTGAACCCATGCTGACCATAACGCTGGAGAAAGACGCCAGCTACGACTCCCAGTGTTGAAATGAACGGACTCAAGTGAATGATGCCATTTTACTAGAATGCTTTGTTCAGATAACGCCATCGAGGAATGTGAAATCTCCTTGAAATGACTGAGAGCATTCGGCATAATCACCACTCTTCAAGAATCTCCGTGGAAGAGGCGCTCCAGCTCCTGCTGCTGACGACTGATCTCATCAACTCATCAGTACACACTAAACCTGGTGGCTCAAACGGGCAGAATGAAGTCCTGATATTAAACTTTACCACAATCCTTCCCTGAGCAGAGTTCTGTGGATGAAGGAGCTCCAGTTCTGATGACTACAGACGGCCTCATGACAACACTATAGAGCAGCGTATACTGGCTTCTATATGTGCCCCCCAGCCTGGAAGGGAGTTGGATTCTGGACTGAGTAACTCACAGGTAGACTGTGGACAAGACGTGCTGTATGTACATGCAGCGTACGTACTGGTGTTGTACCAGCAAATCCCCTCGTCTGGCAGAGAGCTGTGTTTGTGTGCAGCGATGACGCTGATGCCTGTTTCTCTGGGACTGAATAAAGCTGCAGTTTATTTGTCTACACGCCTTCGAGAGGCTGAGAGTGTGTAGTAGGAGTCAGTGCTGCCCGTCAGGCTACATGTGGCTCGGCCCACATCGAAACACAACGGCTCCTATGTTACCTTTTATTTCATCCTGGATTTGCCTTTTTGGGGGAAAAATGTGCTTTAAAACGATTACCTGCTCACCTCCAGGATGAGGTGTCGTGCCTCAGTGTCGAATCAGCGTCTGAGTGGATGTGGTGTTGCTCTGCAGTCTGTTGCCTGATCTCATGGACAATCCGATGCCTGAACATCTCTGTGTGACTGGGTGACAGAAAACAACATGTCCATGGACGTCTGCTCTCCTGTTAAACCCGCTGTCTGGTTGACATGGTCACACACTGGCCTGCCTGCAGGACAACAGAAGACGGATTTGGCTGTAAAGTTGCCTGTTTTGCTTCCATTCAGCTAATGAGACCAAACATGCTGTGACAAGAGCATTTTATCATGAAGCCTTTTAGGAAGTCACTTTACCTGCTCGCTGATTTCACTCCAGTTCGATTGATTGCATTCTGATTTAGCTGTACCGGCGTCTGTCGCCGCGTTGACGGCGTGGGATGTTGCTCAACGGTTCTGATAAGTTGGTACAGTTGGGAGAAACATTAGCACTTTTCTTCTTAAGGTTGATTATTTCTTACATTTACTGTGAATCTTTTGAAGACTGTTGTACGTAGACCTACGTCTGCTGCATCGTGGTTACACCATGACTGTTTTTATACTCACTGCTTGTGTTGATTCTGTCCACTGAGATGATCTTAATAAGTTCTCTTAACTTTTATTGGATTTCAATCCTCAAGGTTGAAGCTGTTTTGAAGCACTTGCTTGTTTAAAACACTCAGCTGAGTTCAGACTGGGACACATAGGTGAAGCAAATCGATATGTTTTTGGGAGAACTAATAATAATATAATATCAGTTCAGATCCACACCGCTGAATTAGACGGTGCTGCTTATTTCCTGGACCGTGCTGTGTGCTCCCCCTGCATCATTTTGTTCAGCCTGTTCTGTTCCTATTCTACTCCTTCCCTTCATCACAAACCCTCCCAGTAAAGAAAAGAAAGAAAAAACACAGGAGAGAAAATGAGAGGCAGAAATGAAGGGGAGCAGAGTCTCTCCGAGGAGAAGGGCCCATTAAGCGAGCCCCCTTTTCTCCAAAGAATGCGCCCAGAGATGGAGAGAGATGAAAGAAATAGAAAAAAACTGCCGTCTATACTTTCTAAAGATAGATTTTCTTTTGCTCTAAGTGGGGAGGCTAACAGGGAGGCAGGTTGGGCTTTGGACTGGAGGAGAGAGAGAATTGAAGAAGGAGGGCAGGTTGTTTCAAACACAAAAGCAGATGAAAGAAGTCTTTTGGCAGAACAGACAGAGTGATGAAGACGAGCATTATGTGCTCTGCAGCGCCTCCATCCACACACCTGTCTCCAGCTTCAACCACTGCTTCGTGCATTTTGTTTCTCTCTGCTGCAGACACTCCCGTATTGACTCACTTCATCTCACTGTGTCTCATAAAATGCAGTTTTGTGCTTTAGTCAACAAGTATTTTACTTATTTTGTGCTTGCATATCCATTTTCCGCCTCCCAAAGCCCCTCTCCCTTCCATTTCAATCGACTTGCGTATGATTTACACATTATATGACTCATTCTAGCAGCCTTGTGCCATAAGCCAATCAATGTGGTCCGAATTCAGATGGAGCGCTGATATATGGCTGTATTTATGTTGTGCTACCCGAGCACTTTTCTCTTTCACTCTCTATCAAACTTTTTGCAGGATTTGGAAAAGGTTCTGGCATCTTTTCACGCAGCGCTTTTAAATCAGCCTTCCCCTCACTTCGCTCTCACGTCTCCATCACAGACTACTTTGAAGCCCTTTAATATTTCTAATTAGTTAATGGAGCTGATTGCATTCATAAAAGCCTGCGGTAAGCATTTCTAGCCCTCGAGCCACTTTCTGGCTTTTCTCTCTGTCCTCCTCCTCCTCTGTTTCCTGGAGAAATATTATCAGTACCAGCACTCTAACGGGTCCTCGGGCCCCACTGGAGCGGCGAATGGTGCCAAAGAGCCATCCTGCCTCTGCCTGAATAAAAAAGACCCCTTTTTATTTTTCTCTTTACTAATTGGAGAGGGGAGATAAAATGGGGCTACGGGGAGTTTTAATCTCCTTTCAGATCCTTGTGATGATTCTTCTCGGGATCCTAGCCTGAGGGCGTTAAGCCAGGATCATTAGAAAGTGTTCAGCAGTCATCCTAAGAGTGTCAGAGCACCTTCTTCCCTCCCCACCCCCTCCTGCTTCTTTTGCTATCTCCCCATAAGTGATTTAATGTTTTCAGTTGACTGTGAGAACGGGGATGCAGAATCTGGAGGGTCTGCAGGGAGACGACACGTTTTACAGTCAGAGGAGGCAACAAGTCCCGTCTCATATTAGTAAGACCTCCAAAAATATTACGGCTGCAGCATCTGGGATCATTCATTGTTTTCACATTTCCTACAGGAGACGCTTGTTTTATTGACGACTGCCGGCTCTGTTTGAACTCATGGTCACAACCTGCAGCAGTCTTTCAAGCTCGCGCTCTTTGAGTTTTATTTTGTTTTTCGATCATCTGTATTTTACTCTTTTGTGCACATTTCTGACACTTGTCTCACTTTTGTTGATGTGAAACCACATGTAGAGTTTTTTCTGGATAATCAGCTGTTTAATGTGATGAGTGCAGGATGTGTGACTGGTGTCTTTACTGAGCTCAGACTGATCATGTGAAACATGCCTCAGCAAGGGATGAACTTCTTAATTCAAGGAGTGACCAGTGCAGACTCCCTCAGACTGAATAAAACCAGCCGTGAAGCATTCATCCCGGCACCAGCCACTCCACCTGACTCTTGTGCACTTTCTGTGAAGACTTTGACGTTGTGACTGTCTTTCTAACTCGGCTGGATTTTCACTGTGTTGCACTTTGAGTACATTAAATGTTGATCCACAGCATACGAAGCCACCGGAGACGCCGATGATATAACCAAACCAAGCTAGCTGGAGATGGACACGCTGTCATCAGAACAATATTTGAATAAAAAATAAAACGTAGTCAAGTTCTTGAGCTAATTCTCTCAATTCTGAGTCAGTTGACGTGACTGAAGACGGGATTTACTCGCTTCTTTCATCTGAAGTAACGGACCTCGTATTTAATTGATCAGCAAGTATTACAGCAGCTGTCATCTGGACGGTTCAGTCTCTGATTTACAGACTGAGGTAAAGGTGGATTATAGAAGGCATCATCTGGAGACGCCAAAGTTGTCTCAGATCCTGATCTGTCTGAGGAAATGAGGTTCTGTATCTTTTATTTCTTATGTACTAAATTAGTCTTTGCCTCTTTATCTTCTGAGTATCTGCCACAGTTTCCCTTCCTGATGTGTGTTTGGTTCCTTTGCCCCAGCAGGAGGTGATTATCAGCTGCCCAGATGCTGCTGCTTTCTTCCTGCAGACTGTAAAGTCAGGTCCCTTGAATCAAACTGAACTGAAATAGGATTGAGCTTCCAGACCCTTCAAAGCCTTGCACTCCGGCCTGCCTCAGAAATCTAAAGTGGTGTTTTAGCTTGTTGAATTTCATGGTCTTGGAATAAAAAGAAAAATAGATTGCGGTGAATGTGAAGGTAATAAAAGTAATATTTTTCTATAAACGCTGTTGCGTGTCTTTCTTTTCACAGCTCAGTCTCCACTTGTCTCTCTCCTCCCTATCTTTCTACTCGTTCTCTCCATCTCTTGACTCTCTTTTCATTTCTAAGCTAATAAAAAAGATGCTTATCACATAATGGAGTCTGGCCGAGAAGTTTACCAACTCTGGATGTTGGTTTCCCCCGATGGACCGAGCACAGAACAAAACGCTTGATGCCTGATCTCCTCAGAAAGTTTAGACAAGATGCTCACTCTGTGAGCCCCTTGATGTCCATCTACAGATGTAGCTCGTGTGCTGACAACAGAGGAGGTGGAGATGAGGTGGAGATGAGGTGGAGATGGCATCACACCAGGATGACGACTCTGCTCCACTGGACACTAATACGCTGTTCTGTCTCTCCAACAGACCCCCGGCCCATGGACTATGGAAAGGATCCTGTTTTCAACCACAAGAACCCCATCAATGGAGGTGAGCTCTCCTC